GCGTCGCATGTATGATTCGCGATCAGGGTAATAGATATATCTATGGTTCGAGCCGTTCGACCCTCGGCAGTGCACATTTACTTTTCTGTTGGATCGGGCCATACGTTCCTCGGTGGTTATTTGCGCATGAGTTATCTAGTCCTCTACCTGTGGTTCCAACTTTAGAATTGTTTGAATATTTATATATGAATGAACACTCTTTATGGAAGGTTAAAGGAAGGATTTCTATTTCATACTTGGAAATTTTACGACTTGAGTTATACCTGCTTATTATTAATTATTCACATTATTACTTGACCTTAATAAGTATCAAGTCGACCTCTCATCTCTACTTCTTCGAGATTAGACGAGATACTTACTGGGTACATGTTGTTTATGTACTCATGCTACGTTTCTGTACTTAAATGTACAGGCCTGAGGCAGGTGGATCTGGATACTATTCTGGTGCGCATCAGTGAGCATCTTTGGGACTTCTACGGTGAGCTGCTTCTCTTTCATTCCGATCCGCAGCCGAAGAAGTCTTTCCCTGTACTTTTTGTTTCTGTCTATCCTGATTCAGACAGTAGGACATTATGTTATTTTTGTGTATATTCTACTAGTCGCCCGTAGCTTGTGACACCAGATTCTGGCACACACGATAGTAGACATTTGTTTTGGGTTGTATATCTATTTTGATACTTTATTTACCACTCATGGCCTTAACTTTAACTTCGAAAAATATGTTACACTCAGTTTTTGGGTAAAAGTAAAATGAGAACTTAATTATACTTCCGCGTTGGCTGGCCTAACAAAGGTGTTGGGCGCCATCATGACCTATTATGAAAAATGGGTCGTGACAGTCTAGACGTGCCACATGGGCCCAATGGCTATAATCTCTTTTTTAATTAGATACATCTTAGAGACAAAAAAATGTTAAAAAATATCTAAGGCAGTGCCTTGTAATTTTATTTTAGTATTGTAATCTAATTTTTGAATTCAAATTTAAACTCCTAATTTGCAAGTTTTTAGATTACGGTCGTTGGTCCGACAGATAATTTTCAAAAATAGTCGTTTGGACCGTTTGACTTGCAAATTGCATACAAGTTACATGCTAATTTTTGAATCGAAATTTAGAGACAAAATTCAAAGCAATGCCTTGTAATTTATTATAGCAATAAAAAATATGACATCTTTCTTAGTTCCCCCCCCCCCCCCCTATGGAATGAGCACAAGAAGGTACTAATACCACCGTTGAGAAGAAAAAGAAACTAATCAAGAAGTGCCAAAAATACAAGTTACATATTAAGTTTTTAATTCAAATTTAAACTCCTAATTTGCAAGTTATTGTGATGGAAAACAAACTTGCAAATATAATATTTAAAATATTCTAAAAAAACGTGCAATTAATTTTTATAGCTATCTCTTACAAACTCCATAAATCCTTCAAGGTTCAGAGAAAATTTCGTTGGTGGTGGCGGAAAAGTAGCTTGTTCCTTGCCGCTTTCATTGTCGGACGAAGCAGCATCCTTAGCAAGTTCAGGTAGCATTTCTTCATAAGTTTCGTCTATCTCTGGTTGTGATTTAGCAAGTCTAAATTTTTTTTTTCTGAACGAATCCAATCTCTGAAAAGTACTATTTTTCCAAGCTATCCCTTATAGACTATCTATGATTACTGATTTAAAATCTTGCTTGAATAGTTAAAATGTCTCGGACCATCCTTGAAAGAACCGGAAAGTATTTTTCTTTGTCCTTCCACCACTACAAAATACCAAAGGTGCCGTCAGGATTCACTTCCTCGAGCCTCTACGACAAATAAACTTCAAGGTCATTTAGTTGTGAAAAATCATTACTACTAGAACTAAAAGAACCACTAAACCCCGCTCAAACACTAAGCCTTCTTCCTCCCGCAGTTCTTTTAGAAGATTGATAATCAGAAGAAAAAGGAGTTGAAACATTTTGTCTAGCCTGATTTAATGCAACTTGATAAGCATTATAAATAGTTTCAGCTTTTGTTCTAATTGCGGCTATTGCTTCCGGAAGTTTAGGCTCCTCATCATCTTCAAGTGCTAAACCCTTATAAACAGTTTCATACCAAAATTGAGGATCTCCTAAATTTATACAAGGATTTAACGAATTAGGAACACCATAAATAGCGTGGATAGGAAAAAATATTTTTTTAAACGTTCTTCTCATAGAATCAATATCAAGTTAATAAATTTCCTCACCCTGTGAAAAATGAGGAAACAAATTTGCAACTTCTGCAATATAAATCAAACAGTTAGAAATAGTAGGATAATATTTTCCCAAAAATTTTTTTGTTGTATATGAAATTTTTCTAAAAAATCAACAAGAATTTTAATATTAGCCCAATCCTCATTCGTAAGGTAATCATCATCATCACTTACATGTGCATTAAACGTTGAACTTATGGGGTTTCTATAGTCATATGCAACAACCAAACTTTCATACATGTAATTCCATCTAGTTAGATAAGGTTTAGGAACCTTTCTTTCTCTTAGGCCACAATCATCGCACCTTGTAAAATATTCTCTAAGTCTACTTTTACGGTTAGAATGAAAAAGGCAGTTAAGAGTCATTTTAACATTTTCAATTTGAATATTTAAAATTCTCATACCATCATCCACAATTAAATGATAAATATGACAAATACATCTAACATGAAAAATATTCCTAAATGCAGGATTTAGCATAGTGGTAAGCAATTCTATAGCATTTGTGTTATTAGTAGCATTATCCATTGAAACCGACATTATTTTATCACTAATGCAAAAATATCTACAAATATCTGTAATTTTGCTAGCAATAAACTGCCATGTGTGCTGTGAAGCAATTATACGTTTTTGCATTATCCAATCCTCATCAATCCAATGACATGTAACAGTAAGGTAATCACAGTCGTTGTTACTTCTACCAATGTTAGTTGTAATATCAACACGATAATTTATATGAGTAAATAAGCAGCACAAATACTGTTCGTCAAAGCCTGTTTATAGAAGTACTCGGGTTACCGATAATCAAGAAAATCAATATTCTCGCAGTGAGAAAGGAAATTAGAATATGAAATAGCAAAGTAATCAATAGAAAGTAAAAGTAAATGATTGTATTCCAATAATAATCAGAATGTGTCCATACAGATGAAATTTCTTTCCTTTATATAATGACCTCTAAGTACAACGTCTTTTCCCCTTTTATGACTGAGTCATTATGAGCATTAATGAAACTCTATAATTGGTAATCATAACTGTTTCATGAAGATTCTGTAACGTTTGTAATCATCCATGCTCATTAATTGGAGATCAATGAATCTTTCCTTTTTACTGTCTCGATTCATTCCGCCGGTACCTTTTCATGTAACTGTTTAAACTTGAACAACCATATCTTCTCCTCTCGTGGGTGATTTGCTTGCATCTGTTACGACTCGTGCCTGCATTTCTACAGCTGTCGCTTTCTCGATGATCCACGTGTCTTGTCTTACCAGTCATTCACATAAATCCACGTGTAATATTTATTTTTACCAATACATTGTCAAGCCATCATACGAGTGAATAATATGAATTATGCAACAAGATATAACGTGCTTTACAATTTTTAGATATTTTCTCTCGAATGTCAAGGTTTTTGCATAAATCAATATAATATTTAAAGGGATTTTTACATACCTATACACTATTTGAAATATTATCACGAAAATATCTATATTTTGGTATTTACCCGACCTAAACACATTTTAGTTACAAAATATATACAAGCCACACATATATATATACAACTAATTATATATTATACAAATTATCTACAACTTATCTAAAATTTTCATACATTATTTCTACCAAGTTATATAACACTACAATATCATACAACTTAAATATAATTTTTATACAATATTGTTCAACTTTCATACAATATTTAAATAAAAAAATATATATATAAACGACATAATACAATTTTTCTACAATTTCGTAAGTATAATGTATATCATGTCTCCTTCTTCGTCTTCTTCGAGTTTCAATCTGAAATTCTGCCAAAATCAAGTCTAATCTTCACCAAAATACCCTCAAATTGAGATATAAACTCCAAACCATATTCCCAATTGTTTGCAACAACACTCAATCCAAACAAATAATATTTTTTGAAAACCCAAATTCGAATTCAAAGCTTCAAAGCTTTTTTAATGGTTATCAATGGTGGAATTGTTGTTCTCTTTTCCTTTGCTTTACATTACTGGAATTAGGGATTGAGAGATAGAGAGAGACGTAGAGAGAATTCCCAATTGTTTGCAACAACACCCAATTCAAACAAATACTAATGTTTTTTGAAAACCCAAATTTGAATTCAAAGCTTCAAAGCTTTTTAATGGCTGTCAATGGTGGAATTGTTGCTATCTTTTCCTTTGCTCTACATTACTTAAATTAGGGATTGAGAGATAGAGAGAGACGTAGAGAGAGAAAGAGAGAGAGCAGGAAAGAGAGACGGAGAGAGAGCGCATAAGGGAGAAAGAATAAGGATGGGAAATAATTGATTCCTAATATAAAGGGATACTCATTTAATTCCTAAAGTGTATATAATTTGTAAATTTGTATATAGGAGGTAATTAAATAGAAACTTGAGTAGGGAGGGTAATAAAGTCTCCAATAGTGTATAGATATGTAAAAATCCCATATTTAAATATGAGGTTAAAATAAAAAAACTAAAAGCACCCGCAGAAAAGATTTAAAGTCTTCCTTTGAGACTTTCCATGATAGTAGCCTCTTAGAGACGTGTGTCTAGAAACCAAAATTTTCGTACTCATATTTCAACTTCAAATTTCATCATTTTTCATATTTTATCTGCACATCTATTTCCAGTCAACCAAAATTTTCTACTTCTGAAAATCTTTCAGTTATATTTCATCTATTATTATATGCATATTTAATTTTGGTATAAGTTATTATTTCTATTTTTTTTAATCATAATGATAACGTCTCTCATATTCCATTAGTGAAGTTCCAAACTGCATTCCATGGCGACAAGGTTTTCAATTAGATTACTAAAAGACCACAAACAAACTCAAATTATTATATGTATAGCTCTCACAATATCTGCACTTTCATTCACATGCCCTGCTTCCGAAAAGAACAAAAGCTTTTAAAAGTCACTCTGTCGCAACCTCCAAATTTATGATGTCTGAAGTCTAGTGATATACCAGTTTGGGCCCCTAGTGAAAAAAACATCTTTAGACAAAAATTAAGGGCCAAAGAGAAGAATCATTCTGCCACAATAGAAAAGATATATTTATAAAAAAGAAAGCACATTATCTGGCCCCTTTATTGACATTACACATCGATAGTCGTCTGCATTTGCACATCAAGTTTTTACAGTTTAGTTGGCAGATATAATGGTAGTCTCTGCATTAGCTTAATTGAAAATAACCGAATTGCCAGAAAGACAAAAAATACAGATTAAATGCAGAATCTAAGCACACTAATTTCATTTAGTGACATACAATGACCAAAACAAATTAGAGGGTAGTTGGATTGGCTTTTAAACCGGTCAAATCAACTTTTAAGTTCTTTTTAGATTTTTTTAGTGTTTGTCAAAGTTAAAAAGTGCTTAAAATAAATTAAAAATTGCTTAAAACAAGCCAAAAATAATAAGCCGGGCAACCCCAACTTATTACCTTTTGGCTTAAAAACTATTTCTGCTGAAGAACTACTTTTTTAAGCCCATCCAAACAGGCTCCTAATCACATGAACTTCCATATCTTCCTCACAAATATGTTCACCAAATTAATTTAATCGTGGGTAGTATTTCAGTCAATTAAAGAGGTTAACACCTTAGGAACTGATCAAGATGAGTGCACCACCTCGAAACTGGGAAGGGCAATCCACTGCTAGGCCCCCACTCTTTAATGGCCAGTACTATTCTTGGTGGAAGAACAGAATGAGAGACCACATCATAGGAGAACATTATGAACTCTGGGACATAGTCACTGATAGTCCCCTAGCTACTACAAAGAAGAATGTTGAAGGGGTGGAAGTGCCAAAGACAAGAGCTGACTGCACTGTTGAAGATTTGAAGAAATGGGAAAAGAATGCCAAGGCCAAGAAATGGCTTGTGTGTGAACTAGGTCCAGACGAGTACAGCAGGCTTCAAAGTTGTACCACTGCTAAGGAGATATGGGACACTCTACAAGTGGCTCATGAAGGAACTCCTCAAGTAAAGAGATCAAGAGGAACATTGTTATATTCTCAATATGAGAATTTCACCATGAAGGAAGGAGAAACTATCCAGGAGATGTACACAAGGTTCACAACAATAACAAATGAACTTAAGTCTCTTGGAAGAATTATCCTTGAAGAAGACAAGGTTGAGAAAATCTTGACAAGGGTCTTGTCAGTAACTTGGGAAAGCAAAATCACTGCTATTGAGGAATCAAAGAACATTGCTACTCAAAGTAGGATGAGCTGATTGGAAATCTCACTGCCTATGAACTGTGAAGGCAAACCATGAAAATGGATGCACCCAAGAAGGAAAAGAGCCTGGCTCTCAGAATAGCTGAAGGTGCAGATCTAGAGGATGATGAAATGGCCATGATCACAAGGGATTTCAAGAAGTACCTGATGGGAGGAAAGGGTTATTCAAGAGGTACAACCTTCAACAAACCAAGGGCCCCTGAGAAACAGATCAACGAGGGCTGCTACAAATGTGGCAAGACTGCCCACATGATCAAGAATTGTCCTCAGTGGGAAATTGAATGGAAGAAGGAAAGGGTTGAACGTAGGAACAGGAAGAAGGAACAGGTTCAACCCAAAAGGAACAAAGGATCAACAAAAGTTATAGTTGCTGCTTGGGGAGAAACCTCAGATGAGGATTCAGAAGATGAAGCTGGAGATGAACAAGCACTTATGGCCATTGGAGAATCAGATGATGAACGAGAGGTCCAAGTGAAGGGAAGTAGCCAAATATGGTACATGGATAGTGGCTACTCAAAACATATGACTGGAAGCAAGAACCAGTTCCTTTCACTTGAAGACTTAAAAGGAGGTAATGTCTGCTTTGGAAATGGGAAGAAAGGTGAAATGATTAGGGTTGGAAAGGTAGGTAAGACAGACTCACATTCCATTGAGAATGTCCACTTGATAGATGGATTGAAATATAGCCTAATCAGTGTATCACAACTATGTGACAGAGGTAACTTGGTAGCATTCACCTCTACTAAATGCTTTGTGATTAATCTTACCACTGACAAGATTGTTTTGCAGGGAAAAAGAGGTAACAATATTTACATTGTAGATTTGTCCACTCTTTCAGAAAATGAACTCACTTGCTTGAGTGTGTTGGACAATGATCCCCTCCTGTGGCACAAAAGACTTGGTCATGCAAGTTTAAATCAACTCAACAAATTAGTCTCCAAGGACCTGGTGATAGGATTACCTAACATCAAGTTCAAGGAAGAAAACATTTGAGAGGCTTGTGCAAGGGGGAAGCAGGTAAGATCTTTTTTTAAAAGCAAGAAGATGGTAAGCACGACCAGGACGATGGAACTGGTCCATATGGATCTCTATGGTCCAATGAGAACATTGAGCAAAGGTGGTAAGAAATATGTGATGGTAATTGTTGATGATTACTCTAGGTTTACTTGGGTATTGTTCTTAACATCTAAGGATGAAGCATTTGACATGTTCACTGCCTTTGTTAGAAGAACTCAAAAACAACTAGGAAATCAATTTGCATCAATTAGGTCTGATCATGGAATTGAATTTGAAAATGCTAAGTTTGCTGAATTTTGTAATGATCACGGTATAGATCATAATTTCTTTGCACCTAGGACTCCTCAACAAAATGGAGTAGTTGAAAGAAAGAAGCTCAAACAAGCTGAATTTTGTAAAGAAGTCTTTCTCAAATAAGCTCCAGGGTTTGAAAGTAAGGAATGTCCAGATCATGTATACAAATTGGACAAGGCCCTATATGGACTCAAGCAGGCTCCTAGATCATGGTATGAACGTCTATCCAAATTCCTGCTTGAACATGGATACAAAAGAGGTAAGATTGACAGCACTCTATTCTTGAGGGAAAAATGTAAGGATCTACTAGTAGTACAAATTATATGTTGATGACATAATCTTTGGGGCAACCACAGAAAAACTAAGTAAGGATTTTGCAAAATTAATGGGGAGTGAATTTGAAATGAGTATGATGGGTGAGCTTAACATTTTCTTAGTCTTACAGATAAAAAAAAAAACCAAATGGAACTATGATCCTTCAGCAGAAATATGCCAAAGAGTTGATTAAGAAGTTTAAAATGGATCAATCAAAAAAAATAGACACACCCATTGCATCAGCAACTAAATTAGACATAGATGAATCTGGTTCATCTATTGATCAAAAGTTATATAGGGGAATGATTGGCTCACTTTTGTATCTTACTGCTAGCAGACCTGACATAGTTTTCGGTGTAGGGTTTTGTGCTCGTTTTCAGGCCAATCCTAAGGAATCCCACTTGACTGCTGTCATGAGGATACTGAGATATTTGAAAGGCACTATTGATCTTTGTTTTTGGTACCTTAAAGGTAGCAACTTTAATCTAGTAGAATATGCTGATGCTGACTATGCAGGTTTCCTTGTGGATAGGAAAAGCACCTCAGGTATGGCTCATTTTCTTGGCTCATGTCTGGTATCATGGGCCACTAAAAAGAAGAATTCAGTGGCCCTATCCACTGCTGAGGCTGAGTATGTTGTTGCTGCCTCTTGTTGTGGTCAATTACTATGGATCAAGCAGCAGCTAATGGATTTTAGCATTGAAATTGGTTGCATCCATATCTTTTGTGATAACACTAGTGCTATAAGTATGACAAAGAACACCGTTCATCATAAAAGGACTAAGCACATAGATGTTAGACATTATTTTTTAAGGGACAACTATGAGAAATGATTGATTACTATAGAATTCTGTGCTATTGATAAACAAATCGTTGACATCTTTACTAAAGCACTGAGTAGAGAAAGCTTTGAAAGGAACAGGTTAGAATTAGGGATGATTAAAATCACCTAATGGGACCAGCTCAGAATGCATAATGAAAAAAAAATATTTTTTTGGCTAGTAAATCTGGAACTTGTGTAAATATCTAGATTAATTTCTACTCAGTCTCATACCGTAAATAGTATACTCTTGTGACTTGTGTTGATATGACTCACTGATCTCTAACAGAATTTTCTCTATTTTGGTAAATTGAGGCATGATCAAGAGAATTCTAAATGAAGAACCTGGTTCATCAGTATTAGTTCATCTGAATGACAAAGTATGTTTTCTATACTCTGCACAATTAGAAAATTAAATACTTAAATCATGAGGAGAGTCCTACCAATGTTCAAAACACCAGAAAATTCTATCCGTTTGTTTTGAACCAGTTCCGACCTTATTAGAATTCTCACCACAAAAATTGCCTAAAATCTAGGAAAGCCTAACCGTCCGTTCAACCTGCAATTTCAGGTTGATTAGACCTCTAATTGACTGCTAAAGCTACCGTTATCCATTAAATGAGTCTTTCCCTTTAAGTACTCATTACTAATTCCTGCCACCCTCAAAATTCAAAACCGTCAAAAAAACCTTCTTCACTGAAAATTGCCATCTTCTCTAAAAAGTTCAGCTCTCAAACTCTCTCAAGCAATAAGCTATAATGTCGAACCCCCAAGATAACCCTGGAACTCCTCCACAACCTACTCCCTCTGATTCATCCACCCCTCATCCACCTAGCACGACTCCTCAACCTAGGAGAAGGCGAGTAAAAATGCTTGCTCACAAAATGGTGGCATCTGGTGCTCTGTCAAAAGAAATTGAACGAGAAATTAAAGGCAAGTCAAGCCCAAGATTCTGACTCTGATTCTGATTCGTTCAGATCTGCTAGTGAGGGGGAAGGACCTGGGTCTTCTGACTTTGAGAAGGCTTAAAAATCCCCTTCTAAGGTATGTTCTTCTTTGGCTGAAAATTTAGAAAATAGGTTTGTCTTGGTTGGGCCTATCAGGGATGTGGAAATACCTGAGTTAGGAAGGAGTGGAGGTAAAAAAATAAAATTGAAAAAGAAAAAAAAAGAGAGGGTGAAAGTGGTGATGTGGGGGGAAAAGGGAAAGGAGTGACTGATTCCTCACCCACTTCTGAATTGCCTGTACCAACTATTTGTGGGTTGCACAGGAAACTGTGGAAGAAAGTGGCAAGAAGTCAGGGGGAAGTAGTTCAGAGAAGGCTGTTGAAGGGTTAGTTAATTTAAGTTCACAAGGAGATGAAACTTGTTCATCAATTGAAGAGACCCTAGTAGACCTTCTGAAGAAGGTAGGTGCAAGTTATGATCCAAAAAAGAGGAGAACTCCAACATCAAATATTGGGCTAAACTAGCATAAAAACACTCTTGACATAATGTATACTGTCTGTTTTGGGTCAAGCCCATATGGTTTTTCCCAAAAGGCTTCGTGGCACTTTGTTCGGACACTCAACAATATCCCTCTCGAACTAAGTTCCACGTGGCTCACTACCACGATTCACGGGTCTCCTCCTCGAACTAAGTTCCATGTGGCACATTTCCACGATCCACAGGTTAATTTTCGAGATTCACAGTGTGCCACCCACATTTTTAGAGTATTATGGCAACCGAAGCCCATAATAACATGGTGTGATGTTGTCCGCTTTGTGCCAAAATCGTACGATTTTTCCCAAAATGCCTCATATCATTAAGAGATCCCTACACCTTATATGTAGACTCATAATTTTTTCAAATACCAATATGGAACTTTATTCGTACGCCCAACATAAAATGGAAAGTAATCGAAAAGCAAGAATACACTAAGATGGAAACTGTCACTAAGCATAAATACATATATTACAAATAATAACAAAGAAGTGAATGGTGAATTAGCATAAATTATTGTTGCGCTGCACTTTTTTGGTGCTTTGCTTTGGTAATGGTAGATTACTTTGGTTCTTGCCCTGCTACTTCAAAATGAAATGCTAGTTTGTAGACACTTTAAATTAACCTGCAGAAAGCAAAATAACGACAAAAATAACCCCAACTCGAATTTTAAAGACAAAAAACACACATGTCAAAATATAGTAGGCGTTTGGCCGGAAATATTATAATTTTTGAAAAAAGTAGTATTTGAAATTAAGTTCAAAAAAGTATTTGTCACACCTCCCTTTTTTCGAGGAATAAGGAGTTTTTCCAATTAAAGTGATATTATTCAAAATGTGATTATTTAATTAATTAGAGTCACCACTTAGAATAGTTATTATGGTGTCCCAAGTAACTAATTTATTTTTAAAATCATAAATCGAGTAAATTTGACCCTGTTTTAAAGTCCGCAAAAATCAGAAGACCAGGTAAGGAATTCTATTAACTTGGGAGAAGGTGTTAGGCATTCCCGTGTTTCGCAATTTTAGCGCGGTCGCTTTAATCATACCTAGCTTAATTAAATTGTTTAATTACTCATTTTTAGAACCTATGTGTATTTTAACTTTTACCGCTTTTAAATTATGGTGTTATGTATTTAATCTTTGAAACGGACTACATGTGTGTAAATCCATTTTATTTGAGGCGTTGAAATCATGTCACGCGTACATGTACACAATTTATCACACTTTATTATATTAAGATTGTTTAATCAAAATCGCGTGAACACGTACTTTGATTTTATTTATTTATTGGTAACCATAATTATGTCACGCGAACGTGTACATAATCATGATAATAGATTTTAAAGCGCGCCTAAAGCATTCTAGGATGTTCATGAATTATTTACTTTCCTAAGATTTGAGATTAATATGAGGCCACGAATTATGGATAGGAGTGTGAGGCAGTATGGATTGGATCGTTAATTTGTTCATAAGATTAATTGCATTATGTCTTGGTTAAAGGCTAATGTTTTATAAGAAGTTGCGAATTAAAACTAATCTGAAAGTTTGCCTCAAGTTAAATCAGGCCGTTGAAAAAAAATTCTTTTGCCAAAGCTAAATGAAATGGATTTTACGAAATATCGAAAACTAAATACGGAATCAAATGCTGGAACTATACAGATCGATAAGGTTAAATTGAAATTTAAGCTAGTCCAAAACTGTTGAGCTCACAAAGTCAGGTAGATCAGGCCCAATTGGACATGTCGTTTTGGATTTGGGGGAGACTCTCACATCCCTTGCAACCAAACTAGGCCCAGGGATCTAAAATCCAGCAACTTGTTTAGGTTTTAATTAGCCCATAAAAGAGAAATTACAAGGCTAATTAAATCATAACCCATTTAATTACATAACTGAAAAATCAATGATTTACCTTACTTATGGATATATATATCCTACTACAATAACATTCATGATCTAAAGCTACAACAGTAATCAATTCACGGTAAATAACTAATTCTAGCTTCACATACATCTCGAGCTAACATGAACCCTCTTTTTAAAAAATAAATATAAAAAAAATACACACTGATTTTCCATGTAACACTACAGGTCCAGTGATTAAGTAGCTAAACCAACAAACTATCAGTTTCAATATTATAGACCTCGTTTGAAAGACAAATTTAAACATTTCACCACATTTCAAGTAAAATAAATTACACATATTCATGCTGAAGAAAGTTGAAACAGCAAATTCCAATCAACATAAGAGAAGCATCAGAATCAAGCATGACTTCATATTAGGCCAAATCTGAAAAATACAAGTTTCGGGAAAACATACCAAATGGTGCAAAGATTAAATCTAAGCCAAATAAAGGCAAAGATTCCAGCTGGTTGGAGCTCAGAAGCGATGAACAGCAAACAACAACGAAACTTGAGTAAAAACATCTAGAAATTCTACATGTTCTTCGTCGTTCTTCAAAGCATTTTTTTTTTGTTTTCAGATCTGGTTTTTTGGGATTTCTTTTTTCCTTCTTCTAGATGTATACAGATGAGTAAAGTGAGGTGAGGGTGAGAGTTTGTTGGGGAAGAAAAACGGGTGTGTGTATTTTCAGATTTCCTTCTTCCGTTCTTTGAGAGTGAGGGAGGGCGGTTGACTGAGAAGATGAGAGTATTAGAGGCGGCTAGGCTTTTGTTCTCCAAGAGGGAAAGGGTCCGTTCCTTATAGAATAGGGGAAATAGATTGTTTTATTAGGTGAAGAAGAAGAAACGACATAGTATTGATACGGTACTACATTCTTTGGGTGACTGAAAGTTATGGAGATTTGGGTCGGGTTGCTGGGCAGATTAGGTGTGGGCTTGGACAATTTTTGGGCCGCTGAAACTGGGCCAATTTGGAACAAGAAGCAACAGACCATATTCTTCTTTATTTGATCTTTCAAAAATAGTCACATTACTTCTAATTGAATTTATTTTGCAAAACGACCTAATTAGCATTTTAACTAATTAATTGAACTAATTGATTAAAGTTAATATATATTTTTTGTGATTTTTGTTTTAACTATGTTTTTAACCTATGATTAATTCCTAAATGAAATTAACAAACTAAATGAAAGATAAAGATTTATGATTTAAAATATTTCTAGATATGCATGAACAATGCGAATAAATGTAAAATAAATAAAAGAAAAACTCCTAAAATTATAAAAATAATTAAAATTATTTTTGAACTATTTTTAGGAGTAATTTCCTCTGTGGGGCAAAAATTAGGTGCTCACAGCTACCCCTTTTTGCTCGAGAACATGAAAAGTTTTCGGGCAAAGATAAAATTGCAACTATGACAATTTTTGCCCGTTTGATACTCCATGGAAAGCATTTTGAAAAGTTTTGACCGAACCTTGCTTCGGAGGTTACCTACATATCCTTGGCTATAAAGGAATCAGGTCAGTGTAGTTCTTGAAGTTTTGGTAGCTGGGACTACCGAAGCGCTGTGATTTCACTGTTGTTGCTACTGTTGTTGTTTCCTGAACTCCTTGTCACACCTCCTTTTCCTACCCCCGGAAAGGGTATAAGGGAGTTCTTTCCAACTTAAAGTGACAATCGAAATGGGATTATTTATTTATTAAACATTCAGAGTCGCCACTTGGGATAATTATGGTGTCCCAAGTCACCGGTTCAAATCCCGAATCGAGGAAAGATTGACTCTGTATTACAGTCCGCAAACACAAAAATCCGAGTAAGAAATTCTGTTAACCCGGAAAAAGGTGTTAGGCTTTCCCGAGTTCCGTGGTTCTAGCACGGTCGCTCAACTGTTATAAATGGCCTATTATCTGATTTAAAAATACTTTTGAACCTATGTGCATTTTTAACCTTAAAACCGCTTTTAATTATTTTAAGGAAGATTTCAACGTCATCTAAAACACGTCTTTGGACCGCGCCACATGAAATGCACCCGCAGTTCGAGACACATTTTATTTAACGTTGTCAAGATTTGGATTTGGGTCACATGAAATGCACACCCGAGTTTAAGGAAGTTAATTATTAAAATAACGCGCCTAAAGCAACTACGCGTTTTTAACTTTGCGAAGGCCACGGAAAATTTGCTAAATGGCACGCCTCGAATTCTAAGGAGTTTTAAAAAAATAATTAAATGAGGGCCATGCATTTTTAGATTTTGTTTGGCATGGCACGCCTCAAATCCAATTTTAAAGAGAATTCAAGCTACATTTGGAGGGCCATAAACTATTTGTGTCATCTAATATGGCTCACCCTCAGCAATTAAAGCGGATCGCATTTAAATAATAAAAAAAACTAAGAAGTTCAGATTTAAATCAAATTAGATTCTGCATACATAGCTATGAGCAGCCTATGCAATTACTATATCGGCCCAAATTTGGAAAAGGAATTGCTCCCGAACTCAGGTAACAATAGCCAGGCAATTAAGGGAATTGGGCTCGAGGTAAAGCCCAAAACCAGACTGGATCAGCTAAGAGGCTTCAGACGTCACTGGGCCAATGACAAAGGCCCAACTGCGGGATTCATGGCCATTACTTGAAACAAATTACGTTCTTCATGAAAAACCTTAAGGCTAAACAAGTGCTGACCACTTTTGCCAATCTTAAACGGATATGAAATGTATTTTTAATACCAAATCACATTCTATAACAGAGATGCCGTACATGATGTTATAAAGCTCACCTACAGTTTCTTTCACCATTTAAAGTATAATAGCATTCATGACCTCTAACCAAAATATCGACGTGACTTCAAAATGGAATTACTAACATAGATTCAACATCAAAAATGTAAAAGGGAACGCGACATTGAACCCAGCCCATCCTCAACAGGATTTCAGAAGAACGCAATTGCTAACATAGACTTAACCTTGACCAATTCCAAACATGGGATCCAAGACAATTAATAGACTAATTCCATGAAACCTTTAACATTAAACATCACAGATTTTTTTACTAGCATGCATACACCGATTTGCATATACTAATGTACTAAGAGTAGTCCAATCAACCCTCAAAGATGACAACCTTAAGAGCCCTTAAATTGATATCATTTGAGCAAAAGTTATCGACTCTTCAAATACATCAACTAGTGAACCCAACAGTAGTATACCATGCCATTAGATCTCTAATGCAAAGCTAAAATTCATTCAAATGCACTTGAAACTACTGAAATAAAATGAAAGTCCAATTTTACAACTACAGACCACTGCATGACATTCATTGAAATGATACCAAGTTTAAGGAAAACTGCAAAAAAGCTGATCAATAAACATCAAACCACAACAAAATTACTCAAATCAGACTTTAAAAAAAACTGAAATCTGGACATTTGAACACCACTTTTCATTCAACATCCACATTTTTCATTGCAATGATTCGAAAGTATACCTGGATGCAACCAAAATAACTACAGAATATCAGAAGAAGAAGATGAGATCAACAGCAATCTAGCAGCAGCAATTAACAGCAAAACAGCAATTTTAGTCCACTTTTGAAATCCAAAACTAGCAAAATGTCAGATCCTTTTCAAATCCCAGAAAATCAACCACAACTTCTAGTTCAAACCATCTTTTTAAAACTCCAAATGAATCAAAGTTGCTTCAGATGTTGAAAACCTCAAGAATCAGAGAAGGAAATTCAATGGAACAGTATTTCTCTCTGAAGTTCCTCGCCGTTTTTTATTTTTTCAGATTTTTTCTTTTCTTCAGGTCTCTCTTGAAATGCAAGGAAGAGGTGCCTTTATAGGCAAGGAAGTAGGGCAGCAACTAAGTCTCAATTTTGCAATTAAGCCCTTTTTGAATTTTCATTATAGCCTAGATATCCTTATTTTAATACTCAGAAGTCCATATTAGCCCCTACTCCCAGCTTCCTAGAAGCTTCTTAATCTGTTACAATAAGATTCCCTTACCTGAACTACCCAAATTACCCTCTAAGTCCTGGTTATTTACCTTAGTCTCAACTACTACCCTTCAGCTCTTGGGTCGATTTAAAATAGGACCCCATCTAGACTATGGGCCTGAATACTATAGCCCAGTTTCATTTTAATCATAGAGCACTGAGGCTTAGATGAACAAGGCTGTCTGGGCCAAAGAAAGAAGAGAAAAAAAACAAGGGAGGCAGAGAACTGAGTCCAAAGAACTCTAATGATTCCAACAAAACAGAAAACAAACTTAATTAACCTATCAGCAATTATGACCCAAGCAAATGAGTCAAACAAGACAACCAAACGGACTACTTAACAGCATCTGGCCCCAAAAGAACTTAAACAATTTTAATACTAACTATGAAAACAAACCGAATTAATTCTAACCCTTTTAACAAAATTAACCAATATTAACTCATGGCTACTGCCTATACAAAACTATATAGAAACAGAAACAGAAGGACAAGAAAGAAAAAGAAAGAATGAAGATGGAGTAGAAACAGAATCCGGAAAAGACATGGTCAAGGAATACCTAAGGTCGGAAACCAACAGCTTGAAAGGCTTGTCCGGCAACCTCCGATTCGACCCAAAACTGGTATTAGTCGCATATTCTCTTTGAGAACAAACGAACAATGCTAGTTCCAGGCCCAATCGTTCATGGAAACTTGAAAGCTTGAAAGGCCTCCTTTTCTCCGTTTTTAGATCTGCGAATGACCCGATTCGGTGAGGATTTGGGGAGAGGAGGTGGCGGATTGGGACTCAAGGATGAACGGTGGTTATGTGGTTAGATTTTGGTGGTGTTTGGGGAGGTCAACCACCTGTAAAAATGGCAAAAACCTTAAGGCTGCTAGGGTTGTGAGAGATGCGAGATATGAGAGAGATAACAGATGGGAAACTGAGTTGTCTCTGAAAATTTCGGACATTCTGAAGTGGATAGTGAGACATGCTTTGGACCGTTGGATGAAACAAATTGAAGGGCCCAGATCTAATCAAACCTATTAAATTCAAAATGACACAGCCCCACCCACCCACCCACCCCCATACTACGTCGTTTGGTCAGGCTGGCTTGGACTGGATGTAGTAACGGGTTTGGGCCGGGTGTGAGACCAATTGGCCGGGTATTAGGGGAATCTGGTTTTGGGCTTAGAGAAATTATTTTGAAATGGCCCAAAAATCAGAGTTCTTTCTTTCTCTTTTAATTCAATTTTTTCAAAATTCATTTCTTTTCTTTTTCTTTTTTTCAAAATTAAAATTAAAAATGAACCTAAATTAGTTCCAAATCAAATTATACTCTAAACATATTAATTATCACAAATATTTGAAAATCAAATTAAAGAAAAAACATCAAAATTCAAGATTAAAAATAAAAGTGCAATTTAAACTATTTTTTGTGACTTTTCCCCTTTTTTTATAAAACGACTAATTTTCTAATTAATCCTAAAATGCATAATTAAATCCTACATGCAAATGCAACATATTTTTGTACTTTTTATGAATTAAACAAAATAAACATGCACAGACAAATACAAACAATTGACAGAAAATGCCACAAAAATCCACAAAATTGCAAACAATGGAAAAATTATTTTGTTTTGAATTTATGGAAATAATTCATATAGGGCAAAAATCACGTGCTCACACTCCTTATTACACCATAATCAAAATTAAAAAGAAACTAAACAAGCCTATTAGCTACAAGTTACAAGATTCCTATCTATAAGTCTTCTGAAACTTGATCTCGAGTCTTGACTGGTTCTTCATCTAGACTCTGATCTGAATCTTGATGCTT